ATCTGACTTGAGCGTTAGAGGCTCTTCACCGGAAAACACCTCCGGTGTGGGAGTTTATTGCAGGTTCCGCGTCCAACCGGCGAGGAGAGCAAGCTTAAGGCGAATTCCAGCCGGGCAGGGTGCGAGACTTGTATTACATACTGATTGTGCGCGAGAGAAGCAGGTCGAACGGAAGGAAGAAAGAGCTAGATCAGATTTCGAGAGAGGAGGTCGATAGAGCGCTGGTGGTTTCGCGAGCGGGAATTTGGGTGGGAAGGAAGGAAGAAGAAGAAAAAATGAGCTAAGGTATATTTTTGTGTTAAGGGTATATTAGTAAATTTCTATTTAATATGATAACTTATTAAGTTTTATTGTAAAAGTTTAGTTAGGGTCATTGTGTAAAATTTGTTCTCCGCATAGGGTCATGCGGACCAATTTCCACCTCTTTCGTCGTAAAGGAAAATGTAGGACGCCGGAGCCCAGGGGCCAATGGTGCGGGTGTGATTTTTGCGAGAAACGCAGCTCTCGATCGCCTCTCTTCCACACATCACCGGGGCCCACACAAAATGAGACGCTCCCCCGCCAATGATCTGGCCAGCGTGATAAGCCGGACGCTACTTGCCGCCTCCAGTCACCAAACGCCGCCGGGCCGGTCCTGGACCCCGTCGATGGAACAAACCCTCCACCATCTCGGGTGCCGCGAATCGCTCAGCCCGGCCCTCGTTGCCCGAGTCATCGACCCCTTCCTCCTCAACCACCATTCACTCGCCCTTGGCTTCTTCAACTGGGCCTCCCAGCAGCCGGGCTTCTCCCATGCCGCAGCCTCTTACCAATCCGTCATCAGGTCCCTCTCCGCCTCTCGCCAGTTCACCTCCGTCGACAAGATTCTCCGGCAGGCCAGAGCCCAGAAGGTGCTCCTCCATCCTTCCGCCTACCGCTCCGTCATCAGCTCCCTTCTCTCTGGGAGGCGGACTCAAATGGCTTTCTCGGTTTTCTGCGAGGTCCGTTTGGTCCTTCCTGAGATTGGGCCCGAAGCTTGCAACTCACTTCTGGCGGTGTTATCAGCTGAAGGGAGTACGAAAAACGCCCGCAAGGTGTTTGATGAAATGATCAAATGTGGTGTTCGGCTGAGCACTCTGGGTTTCGGGGTTTTTGTGTGGAGGGCTTGCGGAAAGATGGCATTGATTGAGGTTTTGAATTTGGTGGATGAGGTTAGGAAAATTGACTTTACTGGAATTGATGGGTCCATCGTTGCACTTATGGTGGTCCACGGGCTGTGCACGGAGGCCCGTACTGAGGATGCGGCTCTTGCTTTAGAAGAGCTCAGGAAAAGGGACTGGAAGCCGGATTTTATGGCCTACAGAGTTGTTGCCGAGAAATTGCGTGACATGAAAAGCGTGGCCGAGGTTGAATGTATCTTGAAAAAGAAGCGAAAATTGGGAGTGGCCCCACGGGCTAGTGCGTACAGAGAAATTATCTGTCGGCTGGTTTCGGAAAAATTAATGCACGAAGCTAAGGAATTAGGCGAGGTGATCCTGGACGGGAATTTCCCAATTGAAGCTGATGTACTGAATGTGCTGATAGGATCCGTATCTGCCACGAACCCTTTACGGGCCGTCTCGTTTTTCAGGTTCATGCTCGAGAAAGAACAATTGCCTACTTTACTTACTCTGGTCAACTTGTGCGAGAATCTTTGTAAGCACGAGAAGGGAGACGAGCTGGTTGAAATTTTCCAGCTCCTGTCTGTGAAAGAGTACTTTTCGAACTTGGAGACTTACAACGTGATGATTTCTTTCCTCTGCAAGGTTGGAAGAGTGAGAGAATGTTACCACGTGTTTGGGGAGATGAAGAAGAAAGGCGTGGATCCAAACGTCTTGTCTTACAATTTTCTTCTCGAGGCCTGCTGCAGGGAGGATCTGGTCCGGCCCGCAAAGAGGCTGTGGGATGAGATGTTCGCAAGTGGCTGTTGTGGGAATCTGGAGAGTTACAACATTCTTATTGCTAAATTATCTGAAGTGGGCCAGGTTGAGGATTCATGCCGCCTTTTTCATCACATGCTCGAGAAAGGGCTGAAGCCCAATGAGTTGACGTACAAATCCATCTTCGAAGGGCTTTGCAGGGCGAAAAATGTTGAGATTGCTCTTCAAATCTTCAATAAGTCGGTTGAACAGGATGCGAAATTATCTGTTGCCTTACTCCAGACATTTGTTGTCTGCCTATGCAGAGAAGGTGACTTTTGTCGACTCACCAGTCATGCTTTATGTGTGGGTTAGTTCATTTGTGTCCCAAAATTGTGATGAAATTTGGTTTTCTTCTTTGGCAGGTAATTTTGAAAAGGCTAGTGAGTTGCTGCGTGGTCCTGCATGCGGTGTCGGGTGTTTTGAGCCCCATTTGATCTTCCTGAGATGTTTGGTTGATAATGGACAGCTTTCATTGGCGACTGAACATGTAGAGTGGGTGTCAGGCAAGTCACCTGCACTTATGCATGCTATTCAGTCTGTATCGCCTGCACTGTTTTCCATAGTTTTAAACTCACAAAAGCAACTGACTGGTGTTAGAGAGATTGGTGAATAGCTTGTTATCTTTCATGAATTTTGTGAATGTAACTGTCTCTGTGTGTGTATATGGATTTACATAATTATACATTGAGTTATCCTGCTCACCGCTATATATCCACGTGATACATTGTCTGGTTTGAGTCCAAAGTTGTCAATTCCAAAATTGTTAAGATCATCTCCAGCGTATCCAAGCAATATCCACGCGATAGTCTGAGCTTCAAAATTGTTAAAACTATCTCCAGCGCACCGACATATATCCATGCGATACATTGTCCGAATGGTTTGATTCTAAAGTTGTGTAAGTTCCAAAATTATTTAGACCGTCTATGGCTGAACGGATTGAGTTCCAAAATTGTTAAGACCGTCTCTGGTCGTATCACCATTGGCCACATATCCACGCTATGTTGAGTGGTTTGAGTTCCAAAGAGCATCTCTAGCTGAATAATGTGAGTTCCAAGATTGTTAGGCCATCTCTAGCGGATCGCCATTGGCCATATTTAAACACGATGATGGTTTGAGTTCAGAAATACGAAGATGGTTTGAGTTCTAAAATTTTAAATTATATTTATATTATTTTTACCTTATAACAATATATACAATAATAAAAGTAAATTCTTTATATATAAATTTTATACCTTAAAGTCAATAGTATTGTATTTTATAAAAAAATGCCTATCATATATATATATACATAATTTTATTTATAAATAAAATGTAAAAAAAAAAGGAAAAAGAAAAAATTTAATGGCGGAGTCAAAATGATTTGACCCGTCCGGGTCAAGGTCGAGTTGACCGGGTATTGACCAAGTTTGACTGGGTCCCAGGCTACCCAGTCCAAACAACTCACCTGGATTGGTCCCAGGTCGACCCGTTGGACAGTTCCGAGTCTCAAAATGCTGTGTATTAGTCATTTTATATTTCTCTTGTTGTTACATCAATTAAGAGATACAATTAAATGATTTATTTTGTTTAATAAATTTGTAAAATACAATTATATTCATACAACAATTTTAAATGTTAAACTTGTACCGTAAAATTAAAATAAATATTGATTAATGTATAAGATGTTTATGGTAATTTTTATTGTGTAATTAATGCTTCAAAAGTTTTTACTACAAATTTTTTTTATTATAAATAAGATTTTTGTGTAAACTCTTAGGATTAGAAGCATAGGTCACAGTGAAGATAAAACACACACACAGAGAGAGAGAGAGAGAGAGAGAGAGAGAGAGAGAGAGAGAGAGAGAGAGAGAGAGAGAGAGAGAGAGAGAGAGAGAGCTTTGAACAACATACAACTTAACTTTATTGCATATATACAAAATTAATATTTTATTAGCGTAATTGAAAAACCTACCCTAAATATTTGTACATTTATGAGATTTACTAGTATTTTCGATTATATTTTTTAAACAGTTTTGATAAGGTAGGTTCTATATTATGGGGTAACAACCAATGTTATTGGTATTAATATTTTTTCACACGTCATCTCTCTTTCCACATTCAATTTTTTTTTTCACACTATTGTTCTGAACCTTCAAGCTCTATCATCTTTTTTTCCCATCATCGTCATCTATGAGAATTAATAATACCACAATTAATCGAAAATCCACTCCCCCCTCCAATTGTCGAAAATAGTCATCATCCCAGCTGAAAGTGGCGTGGACTGACGGAGGCCGGTGGACGAGCTTCAACGGGGTAGCATCCAATGTTTGTCCGGTGAGCGGCGGGTGGTTGGTAGTTGTCTGGTACAACTATTCGAAAGGTAGAGGTGACCGCCCAGTCTGAGCACCAACGGTGCGCGCGACGAGGTTAGTGATGGGTCAGCCATAGGATATCGATCGAGGATGGTAATCGGCTTTTTTTGGGCTGATTGTTTTGCTTGGACGACGACGTGTACAACGGCTTGTGGTCTGGCGACGAAAAGCACGGTTACAGCCTGAAGCGCTACAATAAATGAGCTTGGATATTTTTAATAATGTGCAATGTGCCGGATACGACGACAAATGAGTAATTTTTTTTTCTTTTTCTGTGAATTATATATATATTGTTTTTTTTAGATAGTCATATTAATGTTTTTTGGTTCGTTTTCATTCTTGTAGTTCAGACGTGATTGTTGTTCCAGAGTTGCATGTGAAATAGGGCATTTGATGTATATAATTATGTTTTCAGTATATCTTATGTGGACATATTTTTTTTACCATTATGTTAAAAGATGTTAGGTTGCATTGTTTGTGTGAAAAATGCTCTCACATCTCTCTAACTTTCTCTCTCTAGACCCCTATCTCTACCCTTTCCTACCCTCTTCTCCCTTACTCCCGGTCACCACTACAAGTTAGCTTTTCCGGTGCTCGTCGTCGCCGGCGGCGAGCCGCCCGGCCCAGGGTGGTCCGCCTACCTTTTTCACGTCAATCTCTTCCTTTTTCATCCTCCTTACTTTCCTCATGACTACCTATCTGAGACCCCAGATCTCGGACTCCCCGAGACCCACGACCGGCTCACAGCTTCCCTCCTCCGGCGATTTCCATTGCAAAATCATCTCATGGTCTAAGAACTTCAAAAAGGCTTTCAGATCCGTTTTTGCTCCGTCAGACCTGCTCCATCACCCTCGACCAGAAGG